TTCTTCTTTTCCAGTGAGCATGTCAGGACAGGAGTGTGTTTGTTCAGCACCTGCATCAGTGATGACTTGGACTAGAGACAGATGAAGTTGCAAAGAGAGCCATGATAACAGACTTGCTTTTCAGTTTCTTGATTGGTACAAATTTATTACAACGAAGCAGTGTTAAAGAAGTGGGGCTTCTGCTTTTGATCAGAATGCAGAAACAGAGTTGTGATTGGAAATTAATAACAAAGGACAGATTAATTGTATTCTGGAAATGTTTTGATTAGTACTTGTTGAAATTCTGAGCAAGGGTTTAGTCAGTACTTTTTTATCCTGGACTAATTCATCCATCCGTCTCTGGAAAATTCAGTTTAATGTGTCATTCAGCATAAGGGAAGAAAAGTGTTTTCTATGATCTATGTAACAATCAGTCTTTTCAACAGTTCATTTTGCCTTTCACACAGCAAAGATGTGCATTCCCAAGGTGCCAGATGTTTCCACCACTGAGCAGGTGAAAGGTAGTAGAAAAGAATGTCATTTTGATGAGTCTCTTTATAGCATATTCCTACCAGTGCTCATTTCAGAATCTGGGATCACAGTAGTAAATAATGCTGAGTACTCCTATAGCACAGAACATGTTCAAAATTAAATTTTAGTAGTAGTAGCTTGAGAGATCTCTGAGAAAGTGAATGTGTACCTATGGGAGGAAGTTAAAACTTGACTGTGATAAAACCAAGTCAAGCCAAGAAGTGTTCCCTGGGGAGTGACTCTTGTTCATCTAGAAAAATAATAAAAAATGCTTCTGTGAGTGGGTAAAATGAGATGCCTAAATGGACTCCAGGGAAATTATTGTGGGTGAAAAGGTAATTGTTTAATTTCTCACTACAAATCAAACTTAACTTTTAATTTGGGTAAATAGTGAAATTCAAGAGAGACCTTGGAAAAATTTAATAGTTATTATACTTACCTGTGAAAATTAACATACTTGCTATCCAGCTTGACATTACAGATCTGTTGAGATACTGCAGAGAGGTGGAGGTAGTTTCCTCTTCCTGATATTTCAGAACAGACTGAGATTTCAGATGGGAGGTGTCTTGATCTGAAGGCCATATTCATAAGAGCTCCAGCATTGTAGTTTTGAGGAAATACAGATAATATTTGAGCCAAAGTTGTTGTATGTCTCTTAAAGTAAAAGTTCAAAGAAAAAACCCATGCCATCAATGTTTTGGTTGTTTATATTGTGCCACAGTAAAAATCATTTACGTGTGTTCCCTTACCTACTCTTCCTGGCATAAGATACTGGATGCCAGAGACAAAACTTTTCTTCCTACACTATGCAGAGCAAAACTCTGTTGTATGACCTACCAACATAGAGGAACATGAATTGTAAACCAGTGGAATTAAACACAAAATGTTAAATATACATTTTGGAACATGAGGGATGAAAAGATAAATATTAAAAGACATCCCAATAATAGCAATACATAACATTTCTGATGATTCTCTGAGTATTTTTAGAAAGCAGCGCATTGCTGCGGTATGCAACTGAAATATCACCCAGTAAGACTTCAGCATAATTAAGCAATGATTAATCAATACTTAACTAAAGAAATTAAGCTCAGGAGAAACAATTAATTGAAGTTAAGTGAACTTTGACAGCTCATATTAAACTAAGGCTCTAATTAACAAAAGCATTGTGCATCCTCTAAATGAAGGGATTTGCAGTCTCCAGGTGCCAGGGAGGAGGTGAGTGTTACTCTGCAAATTCCTTGATGATGAGGAGTCACTGATGGAGAGCTTCATTTCAAGGCTTTGAAAAGAGAAGGTGATCTTTCTTTGGTTGCCCACAATGCTGTTTGGTGACTTGATTCTAAGTTCAGCAGTTCAGATGGCTCTCTGGAGGAGACAATGGAGGAATTAATTGTCTGGAGGAACAAGTGTAGTCTCCTGCTAGGGTTTGCAGCCTAGCCCCATGTCCTTCAGGCTCTTATCATTTAGAACCAAGCTGCTGGATGAGGTGGGGGCACTGCTGTAATGTCCATGACACTGCCAAACTCCCAAACTCCACAGAACCGGGGAGCTCTGGCCCTTTGCATCACTTGGAGCTCCACAGCCCCATTTCCTGCAGGATTTGTGGCTGTGGAGAAACGCAGCAGGAGCAGCTGTTCCCAAAGGGTTCCAGCCCAGGGAAGGGTTGGGACAGGGAGAGGAGAGAGGAACACTCTGGAGGACCCGAGAGGGCCTGACTGTGACAGAATTTTTCTCCTTCTTATGTCTCTCTCCTCTCTGTTCTTGTGTTTTTACATTCCCCCCCAGAGTAACTTCACTTTTAGTGTTAATGAATGCCATCATCTATGGACACAGGTTATCAACCCTTGTGCATGTGAGACTGTCCCAATATCTTTTCTGCAAAACTGTCTTATGAAACCACAGAGTCTGGATACCTGACCTGATACTTCTGAAAATATTGGTTTATTACCTGGAGAACAAGCCTGGGGGAGGGAAGGAGTAGAATACAGGGAAGAGCTCTAAGTGTTGTCTCTTGGCTCTCAGGAAAGGAAATGGCCACTGTTTCTCTTTGCAGTAGCCAAGCCACGTCCCATAAGCCCAGACTGATGATGAATAAGGGTCAGGAATGGGGTTTAGAGCCTAATCTCAGCCCCAGCCCACCTGAGGGAATTTTCCCTCTAGAGAGTGGGGCCTTGCTTGTTTTTAGAGGCACTGGAGAGTGGCACAAATCTGAGATGAGGGAAAATAAAAGAGATATGATTGGCTAGTGGTTTAATTGCTCTGTTAATTGCTTTGCCTCTGGTGTTCTCATCCCTGCAGAGAAGTGCCTCAGGGTTATCTCGGCTGTGTGAGTTCCCCTCAGTGATGAGCAATTATCTCCCAGGCAGAGACTACCAAATGTGGCTGTCACAAGATAGCTCCATTCAAAATGATGGATGAGCACGAATGAAGACAAACTTCATTCCCAGAACTCAAATTAGGAGCTGACATCTCCTCATTTGTGTGGATTTGGTCTGACTTTGTAACAGCACAAATGTCAAGATGTACCTCACCAAAGGTTCAGGTCCTGAGACCAGAGACCAACTCCACAGCTGGAGCCCATCTGCAAAGCCTTGTTGGACATTTATAGGTCTGATTTTCCTTTTGTTGAGGTCTCTACAGGATTGATGGGATCATGGAAATGTTCTGGGTGCTCTTTGTGGAGGAGACAGCATTTCTCTGCTTGCATTGACCAAACCTGGGCTAACCTGATTCAGTGAGTCCCCTGCTCCAGGGGGACAGAGGAGCATTTGGAGTCAGGTTAGACAGGGCTGGAGGAGGTAAGGCAGTTCTGCTGCTTTAAGGTCACCAAGCAGGAAGAGCAAGCTGAGAACTTGCACTGGTTTTGCTCTTTGAGCAGCTGCACAGCAGTCCCACAGAGCTCCAGGTGTGCCACTGTTCCACTTTGTGGGGGGATCTGAGCTGTGCAGGAAGGAAGAGATTTACTCTGCAGGAAATTTCAAATCCTAATGGGACAGAGGAAGAAAGCAAAGAAAAACAAAACATACCCCCAAAACTGCAGAGGTGGAGTGATCTGCCTGTGGCCACTCACAAGGCAGTAGCAGGGTGATGGAGCACACCCTGTGCCACTCCCATTAAAGCCTCTCCAGTGAGAGTGCCTGACCTGGCGCTCATGTGGGAGAGTGTTCCCAAGCAGTTCCATAAATGTGCATTATTGCCATGCTCCTGCCTGCCATATTTCCTCTTCTTTATTCACCAAGCGGTGGGAGCTGTCTCTGGCTCATCAATTAAACCCAGAAGTGATGATTTCCAAAGGTACTGCTGCTTAGCAAAAGAAATTCATCCTTAGGCTAAAGGACAAAGCACAAGACCTAAGTGTTATTTAAATGGCTCATAAAACACATGCTGGCTCTTTAGCCTGAATGAAAATCACCCTTAGCTAACATAGGAAATATCCTGCTTTCCCCTGCCTTCCTGAGTCTTTTCATGATGATGAATCTCTTTCCTCTTGCTCCCCATTACTTCTGTAAATGAGAATATGCTGTAACATTGCTGAGGTTGGGCTAATTAAATCAGCTCTTTCTTATCTCATTGATCTGCATTTTAAAGCTGAGCTGATTAAGGATGAGAAACTATATTTGATTAGAAATATGTTTTTGCCAGTTAGTTACATCAAAGGGTAGATTATGAGAGAGCAGAGGAGCTGAACTCACATGGCTACTCTTTCACCTGGATGTTAAAAGGGAAAAGAAATAACATGAAATAAAAAACAAACCCCAAGACACATTCCTAACCTATAATTTTTAACAGCAAATGATGATACCTTTGTTTTGTCTTCTGGAAAAAAATTTAGTAATAAGTGAGACTGTGATACAGAGAAAAGATTTCCATAAGCTGTGCAATGCTGTGGATGGTGCTTTACCAAACATCCAAGAGAAATCTCACTAAAACTGAAATCCCTTCCTGGTTTTATGGTGGCATCAACAGAGTCACTCAGCACCCAGGACCAAATTCTCACCTGGGCTGGCAGTCAAAGCAAAGGCTCAGAGCAGGGCCCCTGGCTGCTCCTCTGCCTGGGCAAACTGCACAGCTCCTGGGCAGTTTTTGTGGCTTTCCCAACCACCATGTCTGTTAAAGAAAATATTATGCCTGGTGTGACTACCTGACAAAGTCCTTTGTTAAAGTCCTTCATTTAGCAAAAGTTTTTGATGGCACCAAGGATGCTGCATCTGCAGCTCAGAAAGGGCTTTTTCAAGGAAGGGAGAGTTAGGAGAATTGATAGGAGGCAGAAATTTCAGTTTTCTTCCTCTTTGAGTTTTCCATTGTCCCTATATCAGCCCAGTGCACTTTTCTGAATACCACAACCAGCAAAAATGAGTTCCTCCCTCTAGCTGCACTCCTCTCCTCTGTCTTTTTATTTGAAACATTCTTTTGAGGGACTGCATGTAGGAACTCAAGCAAACTTCATGCTTTCTACTCAAAAGCAGTAATAGATGAGGATGCCAGGCTGCTTGCAGGAAGATATTTATTAAAAAACACATCCCATATATCAAGACCTGTATGCACTCAAACAGCTTTAGATCTAGTCCTTAAAATGTGATCAAAAGCCATTGGAAACTAATCTGTACATAAATTTAACCATCAAACAAAAATACAGAGTGAGAAGAATGGTCAGCTCATCTAGCATGGGGTTTCTGAAACGTCTGATCTGTAGAGGAACAAAACTAACTGTTATCACTTCATGGCTTCTTTTTCATTTCTGTCACAAGTGAGGTGGTACAAAAGCTTATTTATTTACTATGAAGAAATGCAGATATTTATTCTTAAATAAGAATTAAAAAAACTCTCTGCAAGAGATTAATCACAGCATGCCACGATAAGATTTAACAAGCATGAGATGCGTGTAGGAATTATTTTTCTATTTTTGCAGTGGCTGTATTTGCTTGTATTACTGCTCAGAGAGATAATAGCAGCTCTAGTGGCATTACTATTGAAATCCATGAAATTTCCCTTGAATTAAAAGAATCCTTTAAGGAGCAACAAGGATGAGGAAGGTGACTCCAAACTAGTCTCCTTCTAGAAGAATGATTGCTGTAAATGGTAGCTCAACTTAGAAGGAATTGAATATGCTTAGTCCTTCAAAGAGTTGCACTTCATGCATTTCATTTTAGTTTTATGTGTTAGGCAATGGGATTTACAAGCAAAGTGCTCAGAATTCAAGTTTCAGAATTTACCCTCAAATGTGAATTTACTTACTTCATGTGCAGTGACCAAAACTGCATTTCTGGATAGCCATCCACCCAATTCATCTTTGAATACATCTTCCAGTCATCTTGTTATGTGTGAATTCCCCACAAAATTTATTTGATAAGGAAATAATTATTAATTTTTATTAACTACGTGACAGAAGAATTTCTCTGTTTGAAATCTGTGTAAGTTTCTCTTTAATAGATGAATGCATCAGCCCAAAACAATGGCCTCCATTAAACCCAAATTAAAGGCTTATTTATGATACTCAGTTTTTTTATTTTTCCAAACAGGAGTTAACTTCTAGGACAAAGAGGGCCACCTGAGCCAATATTTATTTTAAAATATTTGTTTCAAGAACATTCATACTTGGATTAATTAGTTTCCTCTGTGAGGCAATAAGAAGATGCCTGTTTAAGAGACACTGCAATGATAAAATAATAATGTCTGAGTAATACTGGGGGTGGTGATGCCAGTGTGTATTGAGGAGGCATTTGTGTGAAACAGTGTTGCCAAGTTTGCAGGTTTTTATTACAGTGATTAATAGAAATAGTTGTTCTCCTGAATTCAAGGTTGTTATTCTGTCTAGGTTTAAAAGCCTGTTCAACAGGAGCTGTGTACACATTTAGCTGAAAGTGAGGAGGCCACTGGCTGATTTCCTGTTCTTAAATGTGATTGAATATAGTGTGGCATTTCTGAGGAACACATTTTTTTTTCTATCTCATCTATAAGAAAGCTCAAAAGTATATTCCTTCCATTTATTTGTTTGTTTTAGAATAGTATCAATTACTTTAAAAATCTCAGGTGGCTGTAACAGAGAGGCCAAGACTGTTCTCCTGTGTGTAATATGGGATTCCTCCATGTCTCCCCTCCATCTAGATAACACCCAGAAACAGTATGGGAAAAATCTTAACAGATGGAGGCCTTTTCAGCCCAAAACTTCCTGCAGAACAGCACTCAGCAGCAGCAATGTCTTTATTTGAAGGCAGCTCCCTTGCAGAAGCATGGGATTGAGCAGAGGAGAATTTTCTCTCTCAGAGCCTCTCCTCAGGTCTTGGTCACACTGTGTTGAGCAATCTAGAGGGGTGATTGTGTCCTTGACAAACTCTGTGCAAGACAAGTATTCCACAGAGAAGCTGAGACATCACACCATCCCTGGCTGCTGGATGTCCATGTGCCGACACATCTGTGCTTGCAGCAAATTTCACCTGGATGAACACAATAATGAGATGTCAGTCAAAAGGTTAGGAAATGGAGGCAATGCCTCCCTGGCTCCAAAAGTCTCAGTGATCAATGGAAAAGGGAACTAGAGGAGCTTGTAGACTTTGCCTTGAGTAAGGCTCTTGTTAGGAAAGCTTCTCATACTTGGGTGAGCTGATTGAGTTGGTCTGAGAGAGAAAGTACAGAGTGTATCTCAGAGCCTCTTCTGAGGCTACAGAATGAATGAGCTGTGGTAGCAAGCAAAAAATAAACGGCCATGCATGTTCCCCTAATCTAAACCCCTCCTGAATGTTCATTTCAGGGCCCATATCTGTAAGGAGCTGCTGGTGATGGCAAAGGGTTATGAGAAACTGGAACTCACAGTTTGATCCTTTAGCATATCTAATTATTAAATTGATTTCAAAAGAGAAGGATTACTTAATATGTCTAATTGAAGCAGGAGATGGTGTTTTCAGTTTAGCAGAGCTTCCTCAAAGGCTTGCATGAAGTCTAAAATTAATACTCATATTTTAAAATTTTTATTACCAACCCTACCATAGCTGAAATATCACACATTTTACATTTTCTGGGATAACACGCAGCACAACATTTTCTGGCTGCTTTAACAAGCTTAGGAACTCATACTGCAAAAAAGAAACCCAAAACAAACCTCGGTTGCAGACCGGATAAAATAACCAATAAATCCAGGGTGAAAACATTTAAATGGCAGGAAAAGCCCACTGTAAAAGAAACCTCCATGGGAATAAAAGAAAAGTCTTTGAACTCCTGTGAGTGATAGCAGTTTTAGAATCTTAATGCCAATACCCTGCCTAGTAGGGCAACAACCTCTGCAAGCACAGGTCAGTGTTCCAGCTGCTGACATCGTGTGTCCAGGAAATTCTTGTCTTTTATTTCCCTGGTGCTGTAAAGCTGATGAGGGACAGAAGTTGATTGAAGACCGTAGCGCCCAATATTTCAAAGACCAAGTGTTATTTAATGTTCAGCAGGAAATCTGTATGTGGATTTAAGTCTGGGCTGATACTTTAATAATTACTCTGGCTATTATGTTTCCTTAGAAAGAGGTCAATCCAAGGGCTGTGTTGGACTCTGAAGGCAATTAGAGTAGCTTCAGAGCAGATTTTGTTTATCATTGTAGTTACAACAAGTATTTTTTGGGTTTTTTTCCCAGCCTGTTGGGCTATCTAAAGTGTGACAAGGGATATTACTTAACAGCAGTTGGAGGCCTTTGAGGGAGCAAAGACTAACTGATTAGACTTAACCTGTCATTTTCTGGTCAATTCTTTTGAACAAAAAGTAACTCAGATATGTGGTTAATGATAGTTTGGAAGGACACAAAGGGAAAATATAGGTAAAGTTGGAAGTTTATCAGGGTTATAGATGAAAAAATAGATTAGAAATCAACTGGAAAGGTAAGTAGAGGGTGCTTTAAAAATAATGCAAATGCTGTAAAAGAAGCCACAGTTGCTTTGGTTTTTATAAGGCATCTTTATATGTACCGTTATGAAAAATCCTGCTTCAGCTTGTTTAAGAAGTAGTAAAATCAGATGTGAAATGAGTTTTGTAGCCTATGAAAATCTAAGGTTCAAACAAGTGACCTTTGCTAAGACAAAATTAGCAAAGAATAAAGGTCCAAACAAAAAATACAGAGGGAAAAAAGAGACAAAAATAGAATTTCCATCTGACTTAGTAAGTCTAGGTTAAAAATACCAGCTTTAATTTTAGAGACTGGGACTCCCCAAATCAGAGCAATTACTTCTACTATATTCTTCAAGGAAACCTGAATGTTGCCATCACAGGCTTTTGTTTTTGACTAATTGTAATTTTGCAACAAAACACAATTTTGGCTGTTGCCTGTGTTGAGTCTGAGGGTGGCAGGGAGTGCAAGTGATGGTGACAGTCCATCCCCACCCGTGAGGATGCTGCCAGAGAGTCGTACAAATTACCCAACATCTGATCACACAGGGGTGGCAGGTGTTCAAAGCAGGTGGAAATATCACACGGGGAAATCAAAGTGATCACAAGTGTTGGAGAAGCAGCAGTGGGATGAAGTTCAGCTGTTCCAAATGCAAACTCACCTTGTTTTGGCCATTCTGAAATAGCTGGGAACGTGACTTGATTGGAGAAAGAGGACACAGACGTGGCAGCTGATCAGGGAACTCATGAGTCAAACACAAGTCTGTGTGGTGTCAGGGAAGATATATTCACTGGGGAAGAGTGAAGAATTCAATAGTACTAGACTCCCTGAAAACTCACCTGGAGTACTGACTGCCGTGCTAGTTAAACTGCTACAAAAGTAATGCACTCAGACTGGGAGAGATTCAGTAAAAAACTGTTAGTTAAGATAAGAAAAGCCATAAAGAATCAGACTAAAGGCATTTGCAGTGCAATAGAGTGTTTCTGATGGTGAGCAAGAGCTTTGTTAATCTTTTAGCTTAACAAAGAGTGTAAGATAGTATGAGTAACAGTTCCCCAAAACACTGTCAGTCTTCAGCAAATTTCAATTTAAAACTTCCTGAGCAAGAGGCATTATCTCTGATTTTGCTTTCTTCCAACAACTGTTTCCTCTGCTGGATTTCCTGCCATACCTTCTTCTACTCACTGCTTTCAGCTTGCTTTCAGCATGTCTGCAGCAGCAGCAGGGATTTCTGCAGACACAAGATGTGGGAGAAACATCAGCTTTTGCTTTTTTGGAAACCGATACTTTTTAATTCTTCTAATGTCACTAATTCCTATTTTTAAAAAGCCAATAAGCAATCATTTCTTGTTCATTGCTTTGTTCCCTAACAGTGATCTGGGAAATGGAAGTGCTTGTCTTACATCAAGACAGCTTGGCTTGTTAATTTTAACACAATTAAGGATGAGGGAACAAGGCTACGATCTATAAATGGGAACTAGGCTACACACCAGTGAAGAGCAAGAGCAGTCTGAAGAAAAATTTTGTCCAAAGAACAAAAAAATTACTGAGAATGAATAAATTTAATTTGAAAAGTAGAAGAAAGTTTTCAGCCATGAAGACAGTGAGACCCTGGGATAGTCTATTGACCATGGGTTGGCTTTGACTGAGCTGTATTTGTAGAAATATATATATTAATTTTGAAGAAAACATCCTCACTTTTTTCTTGGAGCCCAGGAGATCAGTTGCATCAGGTGTGTTAAATTTTTCATATGTTTTGGTTAGCATCTCTTCAGGTTGCCTTTGAGACTCTTGTCTGAATAGTCATGACCCATTTACAGGAGGATGAAGCATGGCCTTCTATTCATGTCTGCAGAAGTACTTGAATGAATGACCCAGATGCTTTAATCACTCAGATATCCCCCTTCTTGGAGGGTGTGGAGAGAATCCTGAGTGATTTAAACATAGAGCATACACTTAATTAATAGAAAATGTCATACAGCACAATGGCAAAGAAGCCCACCTGATGAGTGGAGAAGGTTTTTCCCACTTTCTCCCCAATTTTCAGGAATGAAAAGTAGTTTCAAGAACCTGCGCAACTTTGTCACTGCAGGACCATAACACTACACCTCCCTCCACAACGTTTTATCCCCTCCAAAACCTCCTCTGGTGGAGTTTTGTTCCAACACTTCCCCCAGAGGACTCTGCTCTCCTGTCTAATAAATTTCACAGTTAGGAAGCTTTCTCTGATGCTTTGTCACTCTCAGCCACATAAGAATGGATAAAGATCTGCCTTCAGACGTCAGAGATGAAGAGTACTTATGTGCATGGGAACAGTCCCAACAGGAGTGAGATGAAGGAATACTGCAAATATCAGCAGTGTGGTTACCTTTGCTCACCTTATATAGCAGGGATCTAGCAGGAAATGCAAAGGTGTGAATTTCAGCACTTGTGAAAATGCCAGATTTACAGACTTAAATAGCAAATTCTTCTGCCTCTCCACAAAACAAATATAGCAGGATGTCCACTGTGAGAGTTTTCTCACAAGTAGGTGTCAGCACAAGGGTGAGAATTGGTAAATAAGCACCCAAGGTGGGGAAGAAGTGGTCCTTCGTCCTCTGAGTGACAGAAATTGAAGAAGGGTCACCAGTTTATTGCACTGTTGATGTTTGACACCGATCAAATTAAAACATTTGGTTGTTATGAATAAGAGTTCATTTTAACATGGCAACGGAAGACTTCTTTTCCAATGACCAGACACTGAAATCACTCTATCACCTGCCAGTGGATTTAAAAACAATGTCATGGAAGGTGATTTGGGCTGAAATGTCATCTATAAAATATTTATTGTAATGAGATATATGGTTTTCAGTCACTTAGTGCATCCTGCAGGAGCTGCTAGATGGGTTAAAGACCAAATTACTCAATCCTAATGTCATACACAGCTCTTGCACAGTATTTTTATTGCTAATTACTTGGTGGCATTATATTCACATAAAATAAGACCAATATGGACATGGCTGTTTGGGCAGCCAGGTTGGACCTTTCTGTGTAGCTCTTTACCTTGTCAGTGGAGGTGAATCACTAGTTGAAGCAAGATCCAATCTGAAGCTGGAGTGCTTAATTACCCTTGAAAAATGGAAAGGTCAAAATAGGACAGGAACGACAAAGTCAATTGAGCATCTGGACAGAGTCCAAGCTTCAGTCCTCACTGTCATCTCCTTGTTTCTTCTTTTGGAGGAGTCTACATTTAATTGTAGTTGTAAGAAGATATTTGCACTGTATTCTGTATTCTTTCTCTATTTTTCTCCTTTTTTCCCCTCTCCTTTCCTTCTCTTCCTGCTTTCTTTTGCCTTCTCCCTCTTCTCCTTCCTCCCCTCTCTTGCTGTCTTCTTCCTTACATGTGAAAACACAGAATCCCCTCCCCTCCTCTGGGCCACATCCAGGCTGGGATGCAGCCTGTGGGTGGGGATGTCGCTGTCGAGGCAGGATGGGAATGAATAGACTCTGACTCAGGAGGCTGTGAGAGTAAAAATCTGATTTATTCAAAATATGCCGCTCTTTTATACAGAGCTTTGTGAGGACCAACTTCATTGATCCTGAAGTGAAAACAACCCACAGAATTGGTGCAGAGTGCTTGACGCACAGTGATAGAACTTAACTATAAACAATGTGAAAAACAAGACAGATAAAGAATTATTTATATTCATCTCCAGCTCTTTCCCAGGCTTCTGCCTGGCTAGAAATTCTCAGTTTCTTTCTTTGACTGAATCTGAGACCCACATTGGGATAAGGATCCAGCCCAGTGAGGGGACCCAGGATGACACAGCCTGAGATCTCCACAGGCTGGCACTGAGATGGTCCCTTGAGCCAGCAGCCAGACCCGCAGTGTGTGGGGACTTTCCTAGCCCTGCCACATATTCCTCTCACAGATTTTATCTATGGTCACACGTAGGATCTGCACATCAAAACACTTCGCATGTGCGCATCTGGTGCATAAATATGCAGACAGAGAGGAACATTAACAGAATCAATTAAAAGCTCTCTCTACAACACTCAAGTTTTGCTGATCGTTAATCACAGATGTCTGATATCTTTTTATCTCAAGTCAAAGATTCTCTGTCTCCTTTATAGCAATCAATACACTGGGGTAGTCTCACAAAGCCCACGGATTTTTGTCTCAGTGATCTGACAGGACAATCACCACACCATCCTGACCCACGTAAGAGGCTTTGGGTGACGCATGTGAAAGGCTGCTTGTGTTACATCTATAATTCATTTGCAGCTTGGTCTCTCGGGGCAGCGTGGGGAATCATGGCAGCTGTTTAACAACCCTCAGTTACAACTGAAAGTAAAAGGAGCCACAATTGAGCTGGAACATTATGTAAAGATTGAGCTCACTGGGCCAGGGAACCTGAACTAACATGTCTATTTTTGTGAGGAGTGTTGGGGGATTTTTAATGACTGTAAGATCCTTGATTTTACAGCTCAGTCAGAAATACAATAGCCATAATAACATATTGTAGTGATAGTATTCTTACAGCTACCAAGTTTTAAGAATGTCTGAAAGGAAAGGTTACTGTAGAGAAATAATATCATTTATTAGACCAACAGAGATACATGGAAAAAAGCAGGTGAGTTTCCATGCACATAGCCCTTTCTACAATTCTCAAGCAGAGAAAATAGATGAGAAACTAGGTAGGGCAAGGTGTAACTGCTCTCAGTTTAACAGTATCACATTAATTTTTTCAGACAAAGTGGCTGATGAAAATGAAGCTCCACAGGACAGAGGGATGGGTTATTACTGGTCAACAACCATGTGAGCAGCAGGATGTGGTACATATGGAAAATGGCAGTGATGGACCAAATCTAGCATGTCACAGCATCATGGTTTGGATTGGAAGGGACCTTAAACATTGTTCCACCCCTCTGACATGGGCAGAGACACCTTCCACCAGACCAGGTTATTTCAACCCCATCCAACCTGGCCTTGAGTGCTTCAAAGGATGGAGCAGCCACAGCTTCTCTGGGCAGAGTCAGTGGGCATAGCTGACCCTGCTCTGACTGCAAGGTAAACTGCTCTGGCACTTAGGGTGGTTCAAACCTCTGTGTTTCACTTTTGATGATCTCATTCTGCACAGCCTGGGGAGTTTAGCTGATGCACCAAAATCCATTGAAAACCTGAAAAGCAGATTAAATGCTTCTATTCAAAGAGAGAGAAAATGAAACACTTAAGGTCAGCCCTCTGTAACAGGAGAGAAAATACAGGCAAGCTCAGTGAGCAACACAGAGCACATTTCCAAGCAGCTGCAGAAGTACCACAAGCTCACAGATCTCAGATGCTGAATTTGGGATTTTTTTTATCCTCATAGAGGAATCAGTAAACGTAAAAATACAACACATGTGAACTAAGTCATTAAATAGCTTTCACAGGGGAAGAGATGACCCAGGCTATGAATCACTGTCTTGAGGAAGAGGTATTTGCAGGGGTGGTGAGAGAGAAGATGAATGGGGTTGGGTGGGCTGGATGGAGCTCTGACCCTGGGCACCAGGGCTCCTTGGATGGACTTACTGGCCATGCTGAACACTGCTCTGCTCTGGTTCTTGCTGGTTCACAGCCATGAACCCAGAGCAGAGTCAAGGCACCTCTGCTTCCTGGTACTTGTCTGACTCTGCCTTGAGTCCTTTATGAGTTTTCCACCTGCCTTTGCTTGACTCCAGGGAAACCAGGGACTCTCTGCCAGCTTTTGTCAACAGCATGTGCCAGGACAATGTTTGCCAGACAAAGTAACTGGTGTTAAGATTTCTCTGTAAAGGAGAAGAGGTTACTTTATTAAAAGGTCGGTTCTGCATCTAAGAGGTTAATAAGTATTCACTGAAACTCATCAATGTCAAGACTAAAACCAAACAGGAAAATGGCAATCTCTTTCTCTTTTGTAAAGGAACTTGTTGAAATAACTGCCTAAGTCTGTCCTCTGTTTACTAAAACAGCTTCAGAAATCTCTAAATCCATTTATCCTGAGGATTATCATCATCTGGTTTCCAGACAACATTCTCATTTCCTCCAGTGAGGTTTTCTGATACCTTAGGCCATTAGCTGTGGTATTGATCTTTCCTTAATGCTTAAGAATTCCTACAGCAAAGGCAGCTCTGCATCTAAAAAAACCCCAAGCCAAACCTGTTTTTATCTGAATAGCCAGAACAGCATTTTGTTAGAGACAAAATTTAACATTCTGTAGCTTTTGTTTATAATAAATGTATCAGGGCAGGCTCTAAAGACATCCTTCATAGAATAGACTGAGCCTGTTATCAGCCACTTGGGGAAAATCTGTTCCAGAAACAAAAGCCTGTGACATGCCAGTCCTTCAGCTCCTAGTCCTATGTCTCAGCCCTGGGGAAAGAGATAATGGCCAATGCTTGGGAGTGAAGCCTCTGAGATTTCACCTGGCTCTTCCCACCCCAAAATCCACCCCCCTGACAAATCCTGTGCATCAGTACATAGAAAAGTAGTAACCAAGACCCTTATTACTCATGCTAAATCATCTGACAGGGATTGTCAGGCTGGTGCCTCTGTAATAGAAATGGAGGGAAGAAACCTTGAGGCTGATAAAAGAAATCACCACACCTTTCCTTATTTTATCCTGCTTTACAGGCCTGTTTCCCCCTTTGTCTCCCACTTACTAGGCAATGTTGAAATCCCACAGTTACTCCTCCATTAAAGGAAAACAATTCAGTAACCTTAGGGAGATGATGACAGATGGGAAAGGAGGTAAGAATGTTTGGACTATTTGGACAGGTGGGAATCTATTGCTATTTCTAAACTAATGGGAGCTTGTTGAAAAGCTTAAGTTTCTCAGAAAAAAAAGTTTTCTCTGCAGCTATAATCCATGAGGCAGAGAACAAAGAGTTAAAGTCATTCACCTTAGCTATTAGGACAAACTTTTTTTCCCAACAGTTCAGCCAGAATCTCTGTAAAGACAACTCTTGTTCTCCCCACTTCCAGTGCCATGACCTTCAGCAAGTCTCTCTCTATGAGTCACCCAGCCCCATACAGAGGTCATGGGAGGAGAGAGAGGTTCCCCCAAACACTGCAAAAAGAAGATGGACTAAAAATGCCTATCATGGAATAGGAAAAAGATTGCTAGAATCTTGCCACTTTGGACTTCTTTTGGTGCTTGAAGTATAATTTTCAGCAGTTACAGAGAAGTGTGATTTAAAATTTCTTAATTAGAAGAACCCTTCAATGTATGAAAGTCTTCATTAACACCTAGGAGCAGTCATTATGGTCAAAAAATTCAAATTTGGGTGCCTTAAGTAAGAATAAGTATACACTTTATCAATTTTTCAGTATGTCTGAGCACCCGCAGATAACATTTAAGATGAGTTAATTACAGTATCCTAAATATGGATTAAAGGATTAGTTTTAGACATCAAATTGTGAAAAGTTTAGCTTATGTAACTTACCAGGGCCACATGGAAAGTTGTTGGATTTAGATGTAGAATCACAAATCTTCTTAAATAAGAGGAAGGATGCAGCAAAGGACTCAGGTTTGTCTTCCTTGGTTGCCACAAACTACTTCTTCCCAAAACCCATTAGGGAATTAAAAACCAGAGGACTTAGTATTCTTTTTTCTGAAATTTCTTTCTTAATTGTATTAGCAGTTAGAGTGATCCTGCAGTCATCAAAAACCAAAACTCCAACCAACAAACAAACAAATCCCCAAACAAAACAGTACTTTTAGGCTATAGACACATGCTCAGTGTGCAGCCACCTCTGCCAGCTGATGATATTATCGTGTTCAGCTGCTATTTTGCAGCTCTGAAATTGTATCGCTTTCCCTTTCCCTTTTCCCTTTCTGCAAGCATTCCAGCTCTTCTGGCAAAATGAGTCCTGTGAACACTCCCTAACTCAAACAGTAAAAATAGGTGATTAGAGTTGTTTCAGCTAGTTGTGCTGGAAGAGCATAGATAAAACAGTGCTGAAATGGGGGTGGAGAAGAAGTAATTTTTGGCTACAAACAGTAACAGCTTCAACAGAAAATTTGGAAAAGGACACTAGCTTTACAAGCTGAACATATTGACTTCAACCTCACAGCCCTCAAACTAATTACCCTGAGGTAAAACAAGTGGATTTTAGCTTTTCCTTAAACAGTGAAGATAATCTGGTAGTGATTTAACAGTAAATGTCACAGCAAACAGATTCAGGACTAGAATTAAGCCATACAAGCAATGTTCTTTCCCATGCAGTATTTTTAAACAAATACTTGTGCTTTTCTTTATTCAAAGTTTCTTTCTGCCTTGCCTCTTCCTCTCCCAAATTGTGCCAGTGAAAACTCTACATTTTCAGAAGTGCATCTAGATATATGCAATATCAGCCAGGTTCAAAGATCTTCCTTTGCTGTTATTTCAAGCCTGGTTGCCAAACAGGAGCTGCACAAAATGTCAGCCTGCTCGTGGCCTGCGAGGCTGTGCTGGAGCATCACTTCAAAGAGGCAGCTCAGGGGGAAATTCGTTCTCAGCTCGCTGTGGGGGCCCCTGTGATTCACAGAGCCCCCGCTGGCGCTGGCGACAGCGGCGTGGCCAGGGCTGTGCGCGGCTCCACGCGGGGAATCAGCTCCAAGAATCCACACAAATTAAACCTTCCTACTTCAAGCAAAGTTTGGATACCTGTTGGAAATCAAAGCAGCTCATATCCCCCCTATTAGGCAAATAGCACATGAGGAGGCTGGAGCGGCAAATGTGGTCAGGAAGGCATTTCCCACCATACTTACCTCTGGATGGCATTACGTGGTCCATGAAAATGTTATAGCAAAATCCAACAAAGTTCTTACAGCAGCCTGGAATAAGCATCTTTAAACTAGTACAGTGAAAATCAGAAGACATGGGGTAGAAACATGTTCCTTTTGAAATATATGATTCCATTAAGATAAAATATTTATAGAAATGAGATCAGCTAATGAGGATTTCATTTTGGAGAAAACTCATAAAATGCTGGTCATATCAGGGCACATTTTTCTCTCTTTTTGGAACAAAAATTTCTAAAGGGGAAGTTTATGAAACAGAGAGAAGTGAATTAAAATCATTCATGGCATGTAATAAAGATGTTGAAAACAAAATGTTGATTTTCTGTCTCAAGTGGAGTTTGTGGATCACCCCAAATAAAGGTATTTTGGGGGGAAAAGGAAAATTTACTTTCAGTGAGAATATCTACCTTATATTGTATCAATCTGAAATAAATTTTGTTAGTGAATTTCCTCACAGAGGAGAAATATTCCCATAACAGAGACCCCTGGTACATGGACATGGGCAGCAGTTCTGTGCCAGCTGCAAAGGAAGGGTTATTATTTCTGGTGAAGGAGTTTTGCATTTCCTTTGGTGCTCCTCTGTGATTAGGGACCCTGAGTGATGAGAGGAGGTAACTTATCTTGAGAAGCTGATGAGGTTATCACTGCCAGTTCACTTCCCCCTTCCTCCCTCCCCAGTCTGCCCTACTTTACCCTCATCCCACTCACCAATAACTAAACTGCTTTTCAAACAGCACCAGGACCACAGGGCAGAATTTTAAGGAAAGCAGAGTTGGCAGTGAGTTTCCATAAAGTGTGATGCTGATGGCTGCAGTGATGAGGAGCCTAATGGATGAGCAGCTCAGATGTCTTGCTGTGAAGGGCAAAGGGGCTGCCAGAGGCAGGACTTTGTCTGTTGGCATCTTAATTGCCAGATTTCAGAGCTGCACATAAAAATGCAAACCCTGATGCGGCCCCTGGCAGCCTCTTGGAATTGGTTTGATTCATACTAGCCCAGAACACAGTGAAGAAAAGCTTTGAAAAGCAGGGAATGATGGTTCTGTGGAGAACAGAATCAAAATTAGGAACAAGATCTATGAATTAACTGTAAATTTCAACAGATACAGTAAAAAGATGAGGCAATAAAAGCAAGTGGCAGCTAGGGAGTTGACTGTGGATCCTATATGGGATAAATCCACTCCATTAAGAGCAAACTTGGGCTGAAGTTTCATAGACAGCAAGAGACGTAATGTAGAAAATGGCACTGAGGGCAGTGAATGGAAATTCCCATCTTTTTTAGTGACTTCGACAACATGTACATCACAAACCTCTCTACAGATGGGTTTTCCTGACTATGAAATAGGCAGCAAATTTCACCCTGCAGACTTACAGCAGGACCTGAGGCAGGACCTTGCACACATCAGGGAGTCAGGGCTGTCCAGGGCTTGGAGTAGGAAAGCTTTTGGAAACCCAGCACTGGAAGTCAATGGCAGCTTGTAGACTGCAAGTTGCTTAAGGTCCTCAAGTACAAAATGTTATTTGACTATTTGGAGCTTCCAGGAGCTGAATAAAAAAAAAAAGAAAAAAAAAAAAAAAAAAAAAAAAAAAAAAAAAAAAAAAAAAAAAAAAAAAAAAAAAAAAGAAAAGAAAAAAGAAGAAAAAAAAAATTCTGCAGCTATGCAGCTATACCAGATGCAAGACTGCAATCAAAGGTGAGCTTTTATAAGCAGAAGTTGTCCAGAGAGGTTGTGCATTCTCCATTCTCCATCCCTGGAGATTTTTAAGGCCTGACTCAATAAAGCCCCAAACAACCTCCCCTGATTCCAGAGCTGACCCTGCTTTGAGTAGGAGGCTGGGTTACAGAACTCCTGAGGTCTTTTCTAGGCTGAATTTTCTTATGTTTCCCTTTTCTTTTTCTAGTACCAATATAAGCAAAACAGTACCAAAATATGAGCAAGAGAATTTATGCAATTACTTATTGGTCCCTTGGTATTGCTAATGAGTGCAGAAACATAAAAGATCCCACATCCCCCCAGAGGATCTTGGAGATGGATCTAAGGAGAGGATGGCTCATTTGCAGGGTATGATTCTTCAGGGGTTTAGCAGCATCAGTCCCCACTCAGTGCACCAGTCAAAGACTCAAGGCTTTCTGCTGTGCTCTTCACACCCACCCTGCACACTCCCTTCTGCCACTGTAACTTGTGCTGTGAGATGCAGTGAAGCCTTCCTTTCACCTCCCTGTCAATATTTATTGTGCATGTGTAATTTGAATATTTTAAGATAATGAAATAAAATTCCTGTCTGCATTCATCAAGCCCGATATATCTGCAGCATAAAAGCTGAATGCAGAACAATTTAAAACTACCAGAGAGGATAGTGAAATAGATGAACCTCTGTGTAATAAATGAACAACTTAGTTGCCAGTGAGGAAAAGGGATTGTGGCATCCCAGGTGCCTCAGAGAAACCCTTTTCTGGCAATTACACAGCTTCAGGGCTGCAAATGCCAAAGATTCATCAGTAAACAATCTTTGTTTTCATACTGCTGCGTTGAACATGTGGAAACACACTTGTGGAAAGTGTCATTTTAAGGGATTGCATTCTTTTAAAGGAGTGGTTTTATAAGTGAAGATCATTTTAGGTTTAAGGATTAGAAATGGTCTACTAGGCTTGAGTTGTAGGAAGTGACTTATGGTTACTGCCTGGAAAATGCAGTTCACCTGGAAATTATTGTCTTAAGATTGTTTAAGTATCACTGGCTAACATGAGCACTCTTGATTAAGGCAGCTTTTAGGAGGTACATTGAAGGATATAGAGATTTAAAGAAAAACTGTTTTCCCAGAGCTGTCCACATATTTTGCATGATCAGTCAGACCCTCCTTCTCCCTTCAATATTATTTTGATACTGATGAATTCATTTACATAAATTATTAGATATTGAGTGGGAGACAGAGTGTGAGAAAGAAAGGAGAGGATGTGTCTCAGGAAATTCGTCTGGGATGACTGGGGGAGGCTACCAAGAGGGAATTGAAAACTGGGACAATTTAAATTAGTCATTGGCAATGGAGAAAGTAGAACAATACCCGAGACACACGGTGAAATGTGGAGGGAAAGGAAAAGAAGTCTCTGGATACAGGTACAGAGATGTTCCTGGGCCTGAATTAGCAGAGAATTCTCAAGTCCATAAGAGCTCAAAGCACATACAAATTTAAGGAGAAAGAGAAACAAAAGTGAAAGTTTTATTGTTATTTTCTCATACTAGCCAAAACAGGGAAATCTCACCTACCACAAATTAGAATAAATGGACTCCTATGGGGATGGAGTCCACTTTAAACTATTCAGTTTGATTGCAGATGTCAACATCCCGAGTGAATTTGTAGTCTTGAGGCTGGAATCTTACTTGTGCTCTACAGAAGTGGGAGAGAAGCCAAACACATCAGTATCACATTGAAAACCAGGGCCCTGGGGAAGCAATCCTTCCCAAGAAACTCCCACTGGATGCTGAACTGTGAATCATGTGTGATTTATACTTGTGCTTTGATTACAGCTAGTTGGGGATTATTTTTAACTTTCCATTCAGAAATTAAAATTCATCAGAAATGACTTTTTTTTCCTGCTCCCCTAGAACTTAGATGCTTGAGTGGAGCAGATTCTCAGGTAATATTTCTGAGCAAAACCAGAGAAACATAGAGAGGTGCAGAAAAGCCAAGACAGTAATGACACCAGCTGGAAACTAAGTTTAGAGGCAGATCTCAGTCCAGTGCTGTAAGCAAGCAAGAGAAAATCTGAACCAAGATCTCTCCTACACCCAGTTTGGCCTATTGGTTATTCTGGTTAATGCAATATTGGGTTGTGAGTGTCTCTGTGGGCTGCTGACTGATTCTCATCAGGTCATGAAGGGCTTGCAGTGTTGCACACCATCACTCATCTGGAGACTCTCTCCTAGGCATTACTCAGCTGGAATATCTTGATTTGCTTATATCTATTTCTTGTTCAGTGTTTGACTTCAAACAGTGACACACATCCTTCAAAATATTTAAAAAGAGAAAAAAAGGAAGGAGGTACTTGGGTAGTCTAAGTCAACACGACCTCAGTAATTAATGGATTTGTAGTTTCTCCCTCCAGAAATTCCTTTCTGAACACCCAAGAGGACATGAAAATTACAAAGTGCCTACAGTCCTTTCCTTGTATTTAGGATCCCTCTAGCAAGGCTCTACATTTGCATTTTTTATCCCCTTCTGTCTGTTTTCTGGTTGTGGTTGCAAAAGAGAAGACTG